ACCGTGCACGTCGGGACACTTGCATTGGTGTCGGGCCAATGGGAAGTGTACGCGACACTTTTGGGACTGTGTGCAACATAGCAGAGTAGGGCATGCATTTTATAAATATTCAGAATCTATAATTAGAGTTTTCTCCCTAATTTATATCTTTTGGAAATTCTAATAATTAAGTAAATATTGAATTTATTTCTTTAACATTTTGAGCATTTTGAAATTTTTTATTGACAATGTATATGACATTTGAATAGCACTCATATGATATATGATTTATATCATGACATATTTTAATTATTCAAAAGATTAAATTCCTATTAATTTCTTATGTTTAGCATGATAGTTTTATGAGTTATTAAATATGCTAAGCTTTCTAGTAATATGTAATTTCGTAACTGGTCTAGGAATGCCATGCCAAGTGGAGGATTTTGATTGAGTGACATTTTTCAAATTTTACTCCTAAAACTAAAATTTTACACATGAATTATATTGAATAATGTTAATAATTACTTCTATGCAAGAGATGATTAGGAGCATAGCAATTTTCAATCTTGCAACTTGCATATTATTTTCGTTATTTGGTTCAAATTTATCTGGAAAAATATTATCCTGTAGTGCTAATTATTAATATCTATTCCCCATATTTTCCCTAATAATTAAGAAAACCTATAAATATTTTACATGTTTACGAAATTCCAATTATAAAGAAAATGTTGAATTTATTTCTTTAATGCTTTGAGCATTCTGAAATTTTTTATTGACAGTATATATGATATTTGAATAACATTGATATGATATATGATTTATATCATTACATGTTTAAATTATTCAAATAATTAAATTCCTATTAATTGCATATGTTTAGTACGACAATTTTATGAGATATTACACAAGCTAAGTTTTCTAGTAATATGTAATTTAGTAAAATGTCTAGGAATGCCATGCTAAGTGGGAGGTTTTAGTTGAGTGAAAATTTTCAGATTTACTCCTAAAACTAAAATTTTTTGCATGAATTGTATTGAATAATGTTAATAATTATTTCTATACAGGAGATGTTTAGGAGCATAGCAAATTTTCAATCTTGTAACATGTGTGGTATTTTCTTTATTTGATTCAGATTTATCCTGCAAAATATTATCTTGTAGTGCTAATTATTAATAGCTATTGCACTTTTTGTTTTCTAATGAAGTTGAATATGGTTGCTAAAAACCTTGTTGTTGATCTAAATAAAGGTGAGAAATTGGATGGCCAAAATTATAACATTTGACGTTGTAAAGTCCATTATCTCATAGAAGAGGAAGGGGATTTGGAAAATCTCGATCAAATTATGCAAGAGCCATAAGCTAGAAGTAGAACTTAGCATTGTAGTGACATTGAAACCTTCAAAAATTGGTGCAAAATGATCATTGTGCATGCTTTACGTTGAGCAACAATGATTAGATAGGCAAGTATAAGCAATATGAAAAAGCTCATGAGATATGGCAAGCCCTTAACATGCACAAGGATGAGAAACTAGGCCTTAAAGAAAAAAAGTGTATCTTAAAATCAATTTAAGATCTTATCGAATAGAACAAATTTAATAAGTAACCAATCACACCTTATAAAAAAATTGATGGCGACTCTCAAAATTTTCACTTCAAGGTGAACAGGGTTCCCGGACCCACACATAATAACAGGTGGATGTATGAATCCACATGTATCTCTTTGAATACATTTCAAAAATGTAGGAAATTCAATCTCAATTTTAGTTAGTAATGGCCTTATAATTAATTTTCCATGAAAGCACGTAGCACATAAGAATTTATTAGATTGAAAAATTTTTTTGTTTTTCAATGACTAACCACATAAATTTTTAATAATTTTTTACATCATTATTGATCCAGGATGACCCAACTAGTCATGCTAAATATTAAAATCGTTAGTAAACTTCTAATTTACTATAACATGAGTTTCAATCATTCTAATATTTGTATAGTGCAATGCAAAAAACAAACGTGTAATTTTTCTAGCACACACTTTTTACTCAAGATAATAGATGTAATATAGAGGTATTAATTGTCGATTTTATTCACTATCTCAATATGATAAACATTCAAACGAATATCTTTAAAACTTAATAATTTTTTTTAAAATTTGTTGAAAATAATGCATCCTCTATTATAAACTTTATTACTCCGGGTAGTAAAATATTAGTTTTTCCAAAACCTTCAATTAATCTTATACTACCAGTTATTATATTGACATTAGTTTCTTCCATTGTCAAGTAGGAAAAATATTTCTTGTCTTTAAATACAGTGTGTTGTATCATTGATCTTGGATCCAACCAGATGGATATACATATTTTAAAATAAGATATATAATAAAAAACTTACAAGTTAACATAAAAAATATTAAATATAGAATTTATTATTAAAACATATAATAAGAACAGATCATTTAAATATAATAAGAACATATAAGAATATCTTCATAATAGAATTATATTAAAACACACCAACAAACTATTAAGAAATTTTATTTCTAGATATTTATATCACCAATCAAATGATCAATACTTTCGTCATAGTGGACAAGTAAAAAAACAACTTCAAAATTTGTTTCAATATTTTCTTTCTTTTAGTTTTCAGCAATGCTTGATAAAATCCAACAAGATGTTTTAACGTAGGGCAAGTATGCCTTTCATACTACATTGATTATAGACGTTTTTTGTATTTCTTTTATTTTGTTTACTTTTGTCTCTTTCTTGTATCACTTTATTATTCATCCACTTTTTGTGATTAAATATATTCTTATTATTAAAATAGTGATTAATGTAATCGCTACAATTGTAATAATCATGGCGATCTTTTTTATGTCTATAACCATAATTATTAAATAATGTCACATTCACTTTAGAGAATGTACGAGGTTTATGGTTTTTTATTAGTGGCTTGTTGTTTTACTTAATCATAAAAAGACATGAAATCTAAAAAAAAATGCATTTTTAGATTACCCAAAGTATAATATTTTTCACTTATTTAAAATAGATATCATACAAGGCCAATTTCATATGTTCAATTCAAAAATGTCCTATACAAAATCTTATAGTATCAAAGAAAGTTTTACATACATTGAGTATGATCACATTTGAAATTCAAAAAAAAAATCATGTATTGAGCAAATCATATTTCAATACCAAAATAAAGAGATCATATATAATTATATATTTTTGCATGCCCAATCCAATTTAATAAATCAAAGGACAAAATGTGATACATACTACATTATAGCAAATTCAATATTTTATTTAACAAATCCAAAGACAAAAAATAATACATACTACATGATAGTAAATTCATATTTAAGTTAATTTTTAGGGATGAAAACATCCAAGAGATATCAAGTCACTTACCTAGCTCATTAAAATAAAAAATTAAAGACTAATCATTGAAATCCTTTTGAAGCCTAAAAGAATTAGAACTTCAACTTTGAGATGATAATGAAAACTCAATGATACCAAAACTTGAGAGATTAGAGAATCATGCTGATAATATATTATAAAATGTAACCTAAAAAACAATTATGAGAGAAAAGCATTAATAAAGTAAAAAGATCTTATTTGAAAGTGTGTATTTACAAATTAAATAAAGGGCTTATTTATAAGCTTATAACCCCTTATCCAAATAGAATTTATAAGATAAAAATTATGCTTAGGAATTTAATTTGAATGGATTAAATCCTAATCTTAATTCAATCTAATTTACATCCAAATTTAGATAATCAAAAATAAGAGTTCAAATCAAATTACACTTTTGTGTTTGGCCTACGGATCTATTTGGCTTATCTAGGCTACCTAGCCTGGTCTAAAATCTTAAGACATGTTACATATATTCATACTAGTTGAGAATTTAAATTAAAAAGAAATCATCTTTTAAGTTTATGTGCAATATTTCACAATCCTATTAATAAATATAACTTTTTTAAAAAATTATTTTAAATGTATACATATTATTTATAATTAATTTTTAAAAAATTATTACTGTATGTTACGATATGATACAATACTCGATATTGAATACTTAAAAATAATATACACGATATATATCTCGATTTAACAACTATATATGAAAGCAATGAAAATATATAGAGTCATGTAGTCCTCAATCATATTTAAGGTATCCTAGAAGATCCTTATGTATCAGTCCATATTAAACCTTTTACTTTAGGAAGATTATTAATTTTCATGACTTTAACCATTCAAACATGTTTACATGCTATCTATAAAGCTGCCAATCTAGAGTCCAAATGTATCACACTCGTGAAAGGAAAGGATGCCAACCGGTTATTTAGGTCCACTTGGGAGTAATTTTTACTTTTGTTTATTTGTCACTGTATTATATGATTCTTTCTCAAAATTACACGAATCAATTATTAGAATTACATATTTTTTCTGTTCAAAAAATTAGATTTGAATTGTATTTTTTTAATAATAAATAAATAAACAAAAAAAGGGGAACTGAAATTAAATATTTCTGAACGACCGAGCTATATGGTTTGATTATTTTATTTAGTTGAGTGTATCCTCCCAGGTCATTCTTTCCCTGTACATGTCAAGATATTAGCCTCATGCTGCATGCCATACAAAGCCAACCCAGAAGAAGAAATAAAAAGAAACTATAGACAATTAACTATCATACACTGGCAGAAAAGGTTCAAACCTCCAACTCAGTCATTCATCAGTGCCAATACTGATTACATCGGCAGCACGTTAAAAATCCCATCTCTTGTAGAGGACAATACATAGCTGACAAATTTGAAAATTCTAGAGCTTTTGAATTTGAAGCGTTTCAGCTCGCCGCGTTACCAGATCAGTTACATTTTGTATTTTTTGGCAGTCTATTGTTGTCTAATTATTAGGCTCGTCTCTATTATGGTCTCTTTTGTCTGTAGTGAATTATTTTTGTTTGTCACAGCTCAGAACTTACCAACTTGTCCACCAAGTCTCCCCCTTTATATGCATGTGTTCAAGCTCATGGTGTCCCATATATTAAAGCTTTAAGGTATCAAAAGCAGTGTATTCATAGTCAGGCTGATCCAACAAGTATGGGAAGAATAGATTATTACAAGCCTGCTTTGGCCATGATTGGACTACAATTCATCTATGCAGGAGTTGCTCTTTTCACAAGAGCTGCTCTCCTCAAGGGGCTGAGTCCCAGGGTGTTTGTAGTCTATAGGCAGGGGATGGCAACCTTGCTCATTGCACCCATAGCTTTTGCGTCAAGGAGGTAAGCGCGTATCTTTATTTTCTGCCTCTCTCTCTCTCGCTCTCTAATTTTTCATCTTTTTGTTGGCAGAAAAAATTCGTCCAGGTGCTCCCTGGGGTTGAAGAGCTTTGCTTGGATATTTCTGGCTTCTCTTCTTGGGTGAATGCTGGCTTCAAAAATGTGTTTCCTTTTCGGTGAATAAGTTGGTGAACTTTACTGATGATTTCTTCATAATTAAATTTTGTTTGCAGTGTTACGGCCAATCAGAATGCATATTTTGAGGGGCTCTACTTGTCATCTTCAACAATAGCAAGTGCGATGACTAATCTAACCCCCGCAGTCGCCTTTGTTATGACTGCCATTCTTGGGTAATATGCTCATACTCAACTGGGTCTTAAGAATCTTTTGGACTGGATATGCAAATAAAATAATTTTATTTTAAAAAAAAAACACTGGGGAACATTTCCGCAGGTCAGTGATCGGTAGAGTTAGTTCCTCATCAAACTTGTTGAACCCTAACCAAATACTTAATTTAAATGGTATCATTTGGGCACAATACTCCGAAAATGACAGATTTCAACGCCGTCTCTAGATTAGATTGCCCCCATTTTCAGGACAGCTTGGCCTTAACAATGCTCTGCCAAATTAAATGATTTCATTCTCTTAATCCAAGAGCCTTATAATGATCTGTTATCATATGTTTAAGCCTTGGCAGTTTGCATTTGAACTAAGGACTCTGCCTGTTCCAATAATAACAACTTCAATCTGTCTCTTCATTGATCATTTCTAGACCTCTACATATTTCGGCTTAAGTAGATTTATGTTTTTGGTGTCCTTGCATAGTTGTTTAGACCTCAAAAAGGGTATGAAAGTACGTTGGAGCTCGAGAATTCGCCTCTGCCTTTAAACTGTGGATCTCTTAATATTTTCCTAATCTCGATTTTTAGGCTGGAGAAAGTTAATATCCAAAGCTTGACCAGTTTAGCCAAGATACTGGGAACAGTCATCTGTGTTGGTGGAGCCATATCCATGACATTGCTCAAAGGCCCAAAGCTACTAAACACAGAACTACTACCACCAAAGTCATTGTTCAGCCCGGGAGGAGAAAATTGGTTGCTGGGTTGTCTACTTCTACTTGTAAGCAGCATTTTGTGGTCACTTTGGATGGTCTTGCAGGTATTTTCCCCACATATTCTTCTATAAACGACTTTTAAGTTTTTAACAACTAGATCAATAGATTCTCTTTCAATTTCCGAAACAGGTTCCAATTTCAGCCAGCTGCCCTGATCATTTGTATTCATCTTCTTGGATGTGCTTCTTGGCCACATTGGAATCAGCAACAGTGGCATTTTTAGTAGAGAAAGATCTAGAAGCTTGGAGTCTGAATTCATATCTAGAGCTTTCATGCTGTTTATTCACGGTCAGCACTCATTTGTCTACACTCTACTAACGTTCCTAGTCATGTTCATTTCAGACCCTGGGATCTTAATGACTTGAATATTTTCATCAAATAGGGAATTGCTTTGGCGGTGTCTTTTTTTGTTCAAGCCTGGTGCATTTCACGAACAGGTCCACTCTTTTCTGCAATGTTTAATCCCCTATGCACGGTAATTGTGACTATCATTGCTGCTGTATTCCAACATGAGGAGACATATACTGGAAGGTACCTAACTACCTCTTCTTTTCACCGAAAGAATAAAAACTGATGCCATCTAATGGCAGTATTTTTTTTTTTTTACCAATTTCTTTGACTATGCTTCATACGATTATGATGCCTTATTAATGCTGCAGCTATTCACTTTGTGGGTAGTTGTATATCTTACGTCTGGTTTGGTTTGCCTCAGCTTGGTTGGCGCTTTTGCGGTGATTATTGGTTTATATATTGTCCTATGGGGTAAAGCTAAAGACGTTGAAGAGATCAAAGAAGGGTTGGATCCAAAGCCGCTCAACAATCAGACAAGAATCGTACAAGCCATGATAGACGAATCCTCTGAGAAGACTTGTAAAATTGATCTAGAAGAACCTCTTCTGTCTGATAAATCAACTAAGGATGATGATACTTGGATGAATCATAAATGACCAATTGCTGTTTCAAATTTATTTAAGAAGACAATAATACATTTGTCTCTTATTAGGAATGTCCTGTTTGAGGCTTCTCTGGAACGAACAGGATTCCCCCGCCAGTAACTGCCCTTCAAACAGAAGATAACAAAACCAATTTGTTATCAACTTATTATATATGTAGTAAGTGTATGATTTTGACTATTAACTTATTATTTTTAAGAATTATTTTACAATAATTATAATACTAGATAAAAAGTAACGAGAACTATAAAAAGAATAAAACAACTATATCAAATAGAGAAAAGTGAAAGAATTCGAAATAAGTGATAAAGTTTATGAATTATTTTTAATTTTAAGATTTTTTAAATAATTAATTTAACTTAAAACTTATATATGAAAATAATTAGGAAGTTTCTTTTGAATTTTTCCTTAAAAGTACCAAGTGTTTTTCATTTTCTTTCATTCTCAAGAAGTTTCTTGCCATGATGAATAGGTTTCGTTCTAAAAGTGCTCCTACGATGTCCAATAAACACTTTCTCACAAACTGCTTCAACAAATCATTTCTACTTGATATAGAAAACTCTTGGCAATTCATCAAAGGACGATGAGAAATTCAACAATCCCCCTCTCTAGGATACTCTCTCTGAACCCTTTCCAAAAATACTCTTTCTGTTACTCAATCATTTCCACCTTATTCTCTATCATGCTCCACCACTCTCTTTCCCTAATTTGTATCCCTCACATCTTGCCACAAACACTCAACACTTTGGAGAACTGCTCTAATCTTTCTCTCCATCATTCCCACTACATCTCACTTTACTTATTGTAACACTACCTCTCTCTTTATCAAAAGAATTTTTTACATGTTAACGACTCTACCAGAAAAGAGTGCTTGCATTAAGTATAACCTCACAAAAAAGAAACTTTGTGCTAATGGACCATTCCACCAGTAACCAAGACTCACCTATTCCAACTTATATCCAAGACATGATGACGTTGCTCTAAGCTTCCCAAAAAGTGATGCAAGTATTGAAAGACTACCATTCACAAGTGATGGAAACAATTGTCCAACCCGTATCCTCAACCGCCACAGCCTCTCAGGCTCAACCCAGGCAACCTAATAGTAGCGACAACAAAACTAATGGAAGCAACAATACGAACAAGAATGGAGAAAATGAAGAAAGCACAACTGTAGTAACCATCACAAATCCAAATACAACTAACCCCTCTGTCAATGGCAACTCTATTGTAATAATTTTATCAACCACTACTAAAGAAGAGCTCTTGAAGTTGCTTTGATCAGTAGAACATGAGCATGAATTTTTTGAAATTTGACCTCAAACTACTATATCCAATCAATGTAATTGCTAAGCCATAACTTAAGGACTACACTAACTCCAAGGTCAAACAATTAAATGCTAAGTCCGAGAATGTTTAAGAAAATGTATGAAGTTTTGTGGAAACTTTGAGATTAAGGAGATGATATATGAAGTTCTGGAGCCAAATGTGCAGGGTGTTGGAGATATCCAAGTGAGGTATGGTAGTTCACTTTCAATTTATGACGATGATTGATGATAGATTTACATTGGTCTGAGGCCCAAGTAACCATGTAGTTCACTTTCAATTTTTAATGAGGATAGATTTATATTCGTCGGAGGCCCAAAACATGGACCTCTGGCGCGTGCATATAAACACAATTATTTAATCCACGAATCATATGAAAGAAGATAAGAGAAGGATCACATTCCCGACAAAGTTTTGAGTAAAATGCGAGCAACTTTTCATCTACCGGTCTTCAAGCCATTGAAACACTAATCCACGCGCAACATGGCATCAGTCATCACTTTATCCAGGAATATCTTTCTCAACAGCACTCAAGCCACTCATTTACATTTTGGATCTTTGATTCCCTCTCAAAGAAATGTCCAAAAGTTTTAAAGTTTCTCTGTCCTTTAATGAGACAAGCATCATTTTGATGTAGAACACCAAGGGACCATTGCATTAACTAGTCCTACCCACTATCAAAGACCCCACATTACCTTACCCAGATTGAAAAGTCATTCTAATATCAAATATCCAATGACCAACAACCATATTTGCCCAGATATTTTCATTCGCTTCAAGGCCTTAGATTTCAGGTTCATGAAACCTAGGAAAATAAGGCAGAAATAAGCCAGGTATAAAGAACTTAAACCCACAGCTATTGGGGTTCTTGTTCAGGTGACCCACCGACCTAGCTTTTCTAGCCCAACAACCATTGTTTGTCAACACTCGAGAATGAAAACAGGAAAATTACAACCTTATTATGAGCAATTTCTGCACAGAAACTTGAAATCATCAGCATCGGTACCAAATGAATTAATAGAACAATGACAATGAACAATAAAATTGAGAGTGGGAGCTTTTAAAAAGCATATAAACGATCATATATATATCCAAAACGTTCTAAGAACAACTAGACAAATGATAGAAAACTATACACTAAAAGATCCAAAAGCAAACATGGACATTAAAGTAGAGTGCAGAAAATACAAGCAAATCCAACAAAACTAAACCCTCCGTGCCGATATCCAAAATGGGAAAGCACAAACAAAGACAACCTCAAGGCTTCCACCCTTGATTATAAGCATTGTCTCTCCTATTGTTTCTAAAAGCACAGCAGCCAACAGAGTAGACAACAATGAGGAAGATAAGGAATACGATGTTGATAATCGCCACCTTCTTCCAAGAGCTCTTGAGGTTGTCTATAAACCCAGCCTTGCATGACCGGCAATTGAAGCATAAAGTATTCAGATTGTTATCCCACAAATTGCAGTCAGTATTGGTGAAGACGCCGTTCGTTTTAGTCCAGTTAGTTGGTCCAACATAGGTGAATTGACAGTCGTTTGAAGGCTTACAGCAACCAGACTGCAATTACATAAACAGATTAGAACACAGGCCAAGGAAATAGCACCAAAGTGGCTACAACAACAAGATCAAAATACAGTCCATATATAGGAGTCAAAACATGCGCACAACAGAATCATCTACGTTAAAATTGTGACAAACCCAAATCTAATTCATTCAGATTGGTAATGATCGCTCTCTTTAATAAGTAACAGGTTGAAAATCATATTCCTAGAGAAATAGAAACTTAGAAAGCTATGGTAATCTTACAAAGCAGAATCTATACATTAAAATGTTCCACAAGAAAAGTGGAGAACCCTTTTTATCATAAAGTTGAAATTAGCATAAAGCTATAGATTACCCTCAAAACTTTATAAAAGGACAGAACTGACTAAAAGAAAGAATGGATACCAGAACCCCTTTATGCATAAAGTTTCTTAAAACAACCAAACAGTCAATTACTTTTCTTTGACTAAAGCAAAATTATAAGACTAAACAACTTTGAAATTCGCAAGCAAGTTTCAATACAAAGGACTAAAAGATTTCAAATCTCGTCATTACTATTGAAAGTTGTCACTTGAGAGTCGCAAGGAAAACATTTACAGTTATCTCTCGCCTAAAGTTCATGAAAAAAGAATTCGATCTCTAACAAATACATGAAAATCAAAATTTCTCCAACATCCCGAACCAAAATTTTCCAAAAATTTAAAATTGGATCTCGAAAGAAACCCATGCTATGGATAAAATCAAGACAAAAAGAATTAAATTTTGAAACAAAGTAGAAAAAACTAAAACGAAAGCCCCGATCTCAGAGAACCGAAAAAGAGGGGGAAAAAAATCATACCTGAACGGCAGATAAGTGCTCCTGGTAAAACTCCGCGACAGTATCATTAAGATACTTCTCACGAAAATCAGTACAAACTTTACTATCGGCCAAACAGCTCTTAATCTTATTCCAATTCTTCTCATCAGTAACTCTCTTCTGCAACCAGTTTGAGTAATCCCCAAGTCGGTATTCCTTATACCCTTTACCAGACAACACTTCTCCCGCCCCTTTATTCGTCACCACGAAAGCAAAGATCGTGAAGACGATGCCGAGTACGATGAGGAGGAACATGACGACGAGGTAGAGCCAGAGTAGCCACGTTACGCCACAGCACGCGCCGATTAGTCCAGCGAGTGAGACGACCATGAGGAAGACTCCGATTACGATAATCGGCTTGTCTAAAAACCGCTCGCATTCCGTTACGCCTTCTCGGCTCAGCCAGATGCCGGCGCCGAGGATAGGGATCGAGAGGATGAATGTTATCAAGTTGAGAATTCCGACTAGATTGTTGCTCAAGCGGAAGGCCATGGTTTCAGACTTTTGGTTGGTTCTCTGTTTTTCTTTTTTTTTTTCTTTTCTTTTGTTTGGATGAGGAGAAAATTTGGAGAGAAAAAAACGTTAAAAGAGGTAAGTGAAATTGGAGAGAAAGTAGTGTCCGGAGGGGGTTTAAATATGAGAAGAAGGAATTCGAATTTGAAAGGGGAAACAAATTGAAGAAGTTACAAAGAAAGTTGTGTAGGGACCGGGAGGTTACTGGCAAATTATTGACACGTGCTGCACACGTTTTCTAAATGCGGGCAAGTAGGGATGTGACCGCATTTGGATTTTTTGCCACGTAGCTAAATGGATATGATTTAGTTTTAAATATATTAACTAACTAGTGAAGATTGTTGTGGGCAAAATATAGAATATCGTTTTAAATATATTCGAGTAGAAAATTGTTTTGTTTTTAAACTTATTAAAGGTGTAGCATTTTCTGATTTCTGGACTGAAACGACTACGCCGATGCTTGATGTAGATATTTATTCTACGTTTTTATTTATATGATAAAAGTATATAAATAAACCCATATTATGACAAATCTTTCTAATTGAGAACTTCATAAATACGTATGTAGTTTCTTTTCTCATATTTATTTCCTTCTGAAAGTTTATTTATTGTAATTTATGCCTTCCATTTCAGTCAAAATCTAATTTATGGGTTAAGAATTATGATAACATACTAACAAGACATCTTTTTTGGTTTTTCCATTCAACGAGTGAAAAGCAAATCAGTAGTCTTTTAATGCTTATTATGTGAATTTAAATTGCAATTTTTTTTCTTGCTATATTTATACTAATTATTAATTTATTTTTTAAAAAAAAAATTATTTCACAGATGCAACAGCACATGTAACAATTTGGGTTTTGGGCTGAAAAAAAGAGGACAAAAATAAATTGAAGAATTAATTAATTTTAAAAAGAGAACCAACCCTGGTTAATGGGTACGCCCCACAGCGACACTGACACAGTCTAATTGTATGTTTCTTGGGAATGATTTGGTCAAAGTCTGTCACCCTATTCTTTTACAGCCACAAAGGACGATAGCATTTCCCAACAGCAGCCTTTAAAGCTAAGCCGGGCTCTTTCATCAGCCTTACGTCTTTGTGTTGTCTTCGTTTCACAACGAGAAGTGATCCGCTGCACCGCAATTCAAATACCAATACGCAACCAAACCACGCGTCAGTCTGATGCGGCTTACTGACGCCAACTGTGTTTGATCGAGTCGCCCTCCTACTCCTACCGTGCACGCGTTTTCCTCCTCGAAGAGAAATTGCAATTGACATGTTGAAATTTTAATCAGTAAGGACTGAATTCGGACTTTAAAACGCTAATTAGCTTTATTTTGAGACTAACTAATAATTTCCTGTAGATGTTAATTTCAAATATATTGTCGTATACTACAATACAACATAAAATATTAATAAGGAAAAACTTTATTCGACTAGTTAATATTGACAATGTTGGACAAATTGTTTTGTTATATTTATAGCTTTTACGTGTATGTGTGTGTGTGTGAATTGAGGTGAAAACTAGTTGAAATTCTTGCAAAACACTAAAATGTTAAAACATAATAAAACACTAAAATGTAAAACAATTTTAAGGAAAGTGGGACTCCAACTCAACATTATGAAAAAAAAATTATACATATATTTATTATTAAGTTGAATACTCATATGTAAATAAATCTTACGTTATTAAGATATGATTCACCTCACATGCTACATTTGCAAGGCAAAGAGAACTGTTTATTGTTATTTATTGTTTGGGGTTTCTTTTTGGAAGACTGGCGATTTAAGAACATTCCAATAATGCGCGCCACCGACATCGGCAAATGCTGACAGGAACATGATGCCGTCTTACATTACACTCAATTTAATTTAATCAATGGGATTAAAATTTTTGAATTACAAGACAAATTACTAACCTAAGGATGGGGTGGCAACACCTTGAAATAGTCAAAGACCACATGGTCCGACATGTATATATACATACCACCCCATCAAGTGATAGGATGTTGAAATTTAACAAACCTAATAAATTGTTTGTTAAGAATGGTGATTAATGTATAATGAAAGCAGATTTGCGAAACAATCTCCTTAATAATTTGAACTAATTATACAATTAATCCATGTACTGAATTCACACTAAATAATTTGATGTCTATATTTATAAAACACGTGTTAGTACTTAATTACGTCATATCAACACTATTATTACATCATTTATAAAATATCGTATTATTATTATCATATTATTAAATTTAATATCACATTAATAAAAAATATCGTGTCAAATAATCAAACGTTATATTAGTATAAATAATTCAAAATATTTAATACATTGAATTACTGATATTATTAATTTTGAAAAATATAAAAATTTAATTTTTATAAATTATTATATAAAAATTAAATCCACTATTTTAATAAAATACAAAAACTAATTACATAATTTGAGATTAAACCTTGATTGAGTTGAAAACTTCCATTGCGTGTTGACTATTATTATCATGTATCACCATGTGTTTACCTGCCTTAGAAATCGGGTTCAAGGTTTCAAGTCTATTGAGTTGTACAATCATCACCCAGACTTCCTCTCAAACCATTATTTCTTACCATTCCACCGTCCCCACATAAAACATTAAACTCGTCCTGAGTCACACACTCAAGTGATTATTAAAATTCATGTTGAAATTGAATTGTTAAATGTATCTTAATTTCAAGTATATTTTAGAAATCAAAACATTTAGCGAAACAACGTGACTTTGTTTTTGGGTAAGGTTGTAGTCAACATGACATGTGATTGATTTGAGTACAATTTGTAAATTGCATAGTATATATTTTATTTTAATTACGTACGTAAATGTAAATCAACCAAGAATGGAATTTTAATAAAGTTGAAAATGACACTTTTTTAAAATATTCTTGAAAATAGAAAATTTTTAAAACTCTACTAAAAGTGTTAAAGAATTTAGAAAATTTTTCAATATTAAAGATTTTCATTTATTTTTTAAAAAATTAAAGTAAATAAAAGTAATATAAAATCAAAAACTATTTATCAAGTTTAAAATAAGATAACACTGATTAATTGATTAATTAATATTTTTTTTGAAACGAGCATTGTAGAGTGTCACTACTTTCAGATAAATCTATGCAGATTTGAGCTATAGAAACATTTTAAATTAAGACACATGAAGGAACAATTTTCATTCCAACAAAATTGTCTATGGTGTTAAGAAAAAAACAAGCAACTCCCATTTGAAACTCAAAAAGTAAGCTGTCACATAGAGTTGGGTAATATTAAACATTGTCTAAGTGTGTTTAGCTCATTTATTTAAAACCGCGAGATCTGGAGCTCAATTAGCATTTAAATAAACAAGGTCAAGCATAAATTTAAGTTTGATTAGAAGAACAATGACAGCTTAAACTTGATGAGCACTTTGATAAATGGCGCTTAAGTTTGATTAGAAGAACAATGACAGCTTAAACTTGATGAGCACTTTGATAAATGGCGCTTAAGCTTGACATGGCTTGTTTGCACCCAACTTTGCTGATTACAAACAGTGAACGCACCGCACCACTAAACCGTCAATGAAGGTGAAATAGTCTCTTAAAAAGTATGATCATGAACTAAAACATCAGGAAACCATCAGGATACATTCCAGTTATTTACCAACTTGTCCATCATAATGAATCAAGGCTCAATAAATTCAACAAAATCTCCATTTGTAGCTTATTTAATTCAAGGATAACCATAGAAACTACCTAAAGACAATATCAAGGGAGCAATATGAACTCTCCATGCCAGAGAAGAGTCACCCAATTTCCAATGTGCAGTCACAGAGGACCTGGGAAAGTACCATTCTCCCTCTGCTCATTCCACTTTTCAACCTGCAGCAATTTGAGCAGCATTCAAAATTGTTAAAACGAAAAACACAAGTTAAATACAATAGGAGAACTTATTAATCTTCTGTTTTCGTTATAAATATCTGCCGATACAAGCACTAGAGAAAATTATTGAAATATTTTAGAATGGGTAGAATGTACACAGCGAAGACCGGGATGATTATTCAGTTATTCATTGATCAACCAGCCCACCAATAGCAGAGAGCACAAAATTAATACATTACAGCATTAAAATTAAAATGACAATCACTACTGCACTAACTAAAATCTCAAGAATTAACAAAGCAGTCACCAGCCTTCCACTGTACCTTCATGAATTAATGTAGTAGTAACTAGCAACTCAAAAGATCATTAACCTAAATTCAGTCCGCATAAGTCACATATTAGTTTCATCACCATCTCTGTCTCCACATTTAACAACACTAGAATAGGAATATTTATGAGTACAAAAGTCCTTCAATGAAGATTTACTCTACGATACAATATTTCATACCAGGTCATAAACATAATTTTTTGCTATATACTATTTAACTCAAAGCTAGATCATCCAGCATAAATCTTAACAGCCTTTATGAAACTGTCCATAAATTAATAACACGTCCAAATAGATTTTTAAATTTTCATCAGCAAGATCAATCACGATCTTATCAACATGTCATATAGTACATTAAGTATTATAGTATACGAATATGATACATTAGTTCCGCTGATCAGTAGGAAAAAATACAGGTGCAAAAAGCTAAAATCCTCAACATCAACACAATATAGAGCACTTGGTGTGAAAAAGAAGCACCTGTAATTTATTTGTGCCCTTGAATGTCAGGATAATTTATTTCCTTATTCACAAGTATTATGATGTGCATACATCAGTTGTTATCTAAAACCAGAGATTATGTCACAAGCTTTATCAATGATGCTATAACATATATAAGGCATACTTAAAACTTGTGTATGACAAAACTTGGTACTAGAAGGCAAAAGTCAAGCACAAGATAAAAAGTTTAAAAGACACATACAGCACCTATTCCATTGCAACAAGGCAAACTCTCAATACTTATGATAAAATGAAAAACTAATTATACTCACCCATTCACCAGGACAAAGAGAACGATAGTATTTAGCAAATCTTTCACATTCATTAGACTCTTCACCCTTTGCAGCCAAGCACCTGTAGTTGTTTTCAAGATTAGAAAATAAAATCAAAATACCTTTGATAGTTTCGTAACAAGCAAAAATTGAAAATTAACAAGCAATGTACCGGTGGAACTCAATGTAGCGGGTGAAACAGTGTCTAGTTTGATTTGTTGTGGGGAAGCGAAAGTCAGCTGGGGCTGTTTTCAGTTCAATCTGGGACTATACAAGAAAGAGGATAGTATGGAAGAAATGTGAGAACTAATAGATCATTGCTTGGTGTGAATTTGTTACTTATCAGTTCAAGATGAAATTTTCAACCATGACAGTCCAGAATCATTTACAAAAGCAAAAGAGATCAATCTGAAATCATTTTGCAGGGGTTATATTTTAATAATTCAAAGAAACTACACAGTAGAATAAATACATGTTCATAGCTTTAGAAGCCAACTGGCATGAATATGTATAAAGCATTTGCAGCAGCCAACAGGCTTCATGAGAAACAGACAAGAAAAGTTGTTGCAGCTACAAAATGCCACATAAAGGGTATCTGAATATTCTTACTTCAGAATAGAAGTGTCTTCTTAGTCATAGTTCACAAACAAATTGATGGAGAATAATGGCAGCAGCATCCAAAAATGTTTAAGAGTCTTAAGGCTGCTTATACTGCCCAAGCATTAAACTTGGTACATGTCCAATGATGAGAGCTTAGTTGGGAGCTTGAGTAGGCTTTATCATTTGCTTTTGATTCTTAGCTTTAAGTTGATCTATGATAAAGTCACAGGTTCTTATTTCATCCTGTTTTCTGGCATTTTAAGTAAGAAGGAAATTTTCCTAATTTTCTAGTTTGCTGGAAATTGCAGATTTACATGTCTAAGAGTCTTATTTTGGGCTTTCCCTAATGTTATTGGGTTTAATTTGTAGTTTAGGTACCATAATTTTAAATCAGCTTGTTAGTTTCTTAATTGGCTCGTTTCCTACTTAGAGTTTTAAGTATCTTTCAAAGTCCTCATTGCACTTGGAGAGCTAGTTCTTATTGGACCAGGAATGCTAGGAGTATATACATATCAATTCGCTTGTGGTTGCCTAATAAAACAACCTTTGGTGTGACTCCTTAGGCCAAAACCTAGATGATTTCTTCTTATAATTTTCCAGCATTATTTCAGATTTACAACTAGGGGCGGTAAAACCGACCCGAACCCCAAAACCCAGCTGAAAAAGCCCAAACCCGAATTGGCAAAAAAGTCAAAGACCCAAACCCAAGAAACATGACTCTAAAATTACTTGAAACCAAAAAAACTGAACCTACAATGATCTGAACCCCAAAATGATGTTGAAATGGTTACATCTTACATAATATCTAAAATGATTAAAAACTAACTCAAACTTGGAACAACCCGATCCTACAACAATCGAAATACGAAACAGCCCAAATTCAAGATGACCTGAACCCAAACCCACTTGTTTGCTACCTCTATTCATAACCAGCCCCAGATTAATCTCCTTAAACCCAAGAATAGTCATTTACGAAACTCTAACCTAATCCACACTGAAGCAAATGTCAAGTTTTCCCCCTAACCATCAACTAATGTTCAGAGACAAGGTTCACAATACCAGAAAAACCTTTGAACAAGAAAGCTGTCCGACATCACAACTTCCGTAAAACATAGATGTTCCAAGAAATACATGAAAGTAACTTCATTAAAGTATTCAAAGATCTTTCTTCAATACATTCAACGTCATTATGTAAAAGAAATCAAGAAACAAATTAAAATTAAAAAAGCTATATGCTTGAACTTAACCTTTTGCTTTAAAATATCCTAGTTTCACCTCAAACAATACTTTCACTGGCATAGAGTCCACTATTGTAATCCATTATTCTTCAAGTACTTCAGAATTTATGCTTCTAGTGGAATAACACTTAGTATAGGATGACTTTGGATGTCACCATCTGTTGCCTATATATAAATAAAAATATAATCTCTCCAGCGCCTTCGTTAGTTATCTCCTCCACATAAATCATTTATGAAACATTTTCTTTTATAATTGTTATATATGCAATATATATAAAGAAACATAATGCTTTGGCCTTGAATAATATACTCTCACTCTACCTTATCGTTCATAGAATAAAGGAGAAAGGGGGCTGCAAGAGACAAGCTTTTGCATGTTACAAGTAACGATGATTAAAGTTACATGTCAAATTATATCCTAGTTTCAAACTAAGAGAAAAATTTGTTGGGATAACAGATCTCAGAGTAAAACTACTATCACTTATGTCCTAAAATAATGCGTCATAGTAAAACCTTCTGCTGCCATACATGAAATTCTTCATGGAACCTGGATTGGAGCTTCATGCAATTCGAACCAATGAGGGTTGACTCCTGACTTAAACAACTCCAAATTCAAGGTACTAAATTTCTAAAGCATTCAGCTGAGAAAAAAAATCCCATTTCACATGAAAAAGACTCAATTTTTTTCCCTAAAGCAATAAATTTCATAGATTCTTCACACCAAAGGACTTTGAAAATTGATATTCCCGTTCCCGTCAATGATTTAAACGCAATTTAATTTATGAGCCCCTCATTCACAATTACAAAAGAAAAAAAAAACCAACAGAAGAACAATATCCAAATTCAAAACGAAAAAACCTAGAACACAATCGACTGATATTAAACAAATAAGAAAATAATAAATAGATTTAAGATCAAATGAGCGAATCACTATCGAAATTTTGATATCTAAAGGAAAACTTTTCAATTTCTTGTCATTGCCGGCGGCTTCTAGACCAACAGAAGGAGGAGAAAAATTAAAGAGGAAAGGGGAGATTACCTCGTCCGCCATGACTGATCCTATCAAAGAGCAAAGAAGCAAAGTGGTGATGCGTTCTTGACCGGAGACTCTAAAATAGGCGTATAAAAAATGAATGACCAGCAAACTCTCTCCGGTTCGTCCCACGACTAATAAGAATACACCACGTTATCTAACACTCAAATCCTAGGTTAATTAGAAGTAATTAACCATTGAACACAAGAAGTATGTAAATCAATGCATTAACTTTTTTTTTCATTATTAAAAAAATATATACACGTACCATTAAAAAAAGTGTTCAAATGTTAATTATGTTAACTGTTGATAATATTCAACTTTAATTTTTCTTATAATATTTAAATAGTTAAATTATAGTTATATATTATACATTTTGTTATGTAAATTTTAGTTTCAATTGAAATGAATTTTAATGAAATAAATTCATCAAATTTTATAATGAAAATTTTTAATTTATTAACTGATAAGTACATGTCTCATTTTAATAAAAATTTTTCATATTTTAAATTCATCAAATTAATTTTTTACCATTAAGAAATATTATTTTTAATAAAAAATGTGATTAAAAGATATTTCAGCAATTAAAACTCTTGAAGTGACAATAAGATAAAGAATAACTTTTCAGTATATAGTGTAAGATCATATGTTACTTATCAAGAACAAATTACAGTGGTAATTACCGAGTTATTGAATAGAATTAATAGTGTTTATTCATTAAGTGATTAATATTGCTCTGAAAATAATTCACGCTTAATCTCTCAATAACAAACAGTATTAATTAATTGTCAAATGGCTTGAACAATTGGCTTTAATTTTTAAAAAAAAAGTATCTACGAAGTATCCAATTAAATAATCCATTTAAATATCCAATATTTCAGCATGGTAAATTTGACCATAGAATAACAGCAAAGTATACTTTTAATTTTAATGTTTTTTTTATTTCATATATTTAATGGTATTTATTTTCTTAATTGAAAAACAAGTTTTACTCCGTTCTTGATAGTTAAGTGAGTCGACTTAACATTAATTCAAAAGACTTTTAGTAAAGATAAAAATGACTATATATATAAATATATATATATATATATATATATGATTTTCATTGTACCACGTGAGTATTTTTATTAAAAGAATTTAGGGCTAAAAATTACCTTTTTTAGTAGATAAAACTAATTTAAGACGAGTGGTTTGTAAGTTAAATCTGAATGAGCTTGGCAAATAAGTATTTCACCACGTGAGTTGCATCAAAATATACCAATTGCTAGAGTTAATTTCAAAGAAAACAGATTCCTACTATCTCTCTGTTCCTTCTATTTTCGCTCCAACTATATCCGTACGCTAAGTACATTCGAGATCAGACTTGGTAAAAACATGAGACGATTTATTCCCCGCAAAAAAAAAAAAGTATTAAAATTAACAAAGTAGCTGGGGTGGCCTATATACTTTGGCATTCACTAGACAGAACTAGTGTGAAACATTTGAGCAAGGTCTCCATTATTCCTTTCAAGTCTTGTTCTTCGTGGATGTAATGGCGGATAATACCAATGTAGCGGAAGCTGTAGCAGTGACAGTGATTGAAGAGAACAAACCTAAACAAGCTCAAGACGTGAAGAAACCTATTATACAGAAGAAAAT